TACGATTATTAGATGCCAAGTTATTTAATATATTCTTTATATAACTGTGATTATAAACGGTTTTTTTTAATATAAGATTTTTGAGGATAGGTGTAATAGTGACTATAGATAGATTGTGACTATATAGGATAGATTTTAATAATAAAGTGTTTTGAACATTCAACTGGTGTGACTATATAGTAGAATGTGACTATAACGGGAGTGACTATAGAGGGAGTTGACTGTATTTTTACCAATAACATAATATTAACATAACAGTTTAATGTAACAAACAATCTTAAGTACTAACGATTTTAGATTATCTTTTTGTCATTAGTATGCAGCTAGCTGATTATTTAAGCTTTATTTTATTATAATTTTTTTTGATAGAAAATTTTTATTTTTTTTTGCAAATATTTTTTACTTATAATTGTAAATATTTTACATTAGTTATGGTTATGTAATAGAATAGAATGTAAAAAGTTGTAATTATTTTCATTTTAATTACAAATAATTAATAAACTGCTAAATGTTTTATTTATTCTGATTCTCAATTATTTAATTATTCTATGTTGCAGTAAAAAGTTCCATGTGGAAAGAATATGAAAATATGATAATGACCTATTACAATTTATGTGTCTATACAGCAAGTGGACAAAAACTTGATGAAAATAAAATTACTGTATCCGATGCTGAATTAGAAAAAGTACATGATGGTCTTGTTGCTCACCTTTCAGATAATCATAGTTTTTGTTGGGATGAAGTATGTTGGAGAAAAGAAAATCCTGATATTCAATTAAAAGCACCACATTTAAAAGAACATACATTTAATCAAAGAGAGAAGTTTCGTCAATTTCTCAAAGAATGCTTTTATATACCAACAAAACAGAGCTTAATTACTTACATTAGAATATCATATAATGAAGCATTCAACCGAGTTAAATTATGCTTTCAAGATAAAAAAATTGATTATTGGAAAACCTATAGTACACGACATGCTCTAGCTGTTTTTCAATATAACAATGGTCTGTTAAATATGCTGAAAATTGCCTGATCAGCATGTAATATTCCATATTTTTCTGAAACTGATAAGAAAAATATTAGTAAAATAGCTGAAGAACGAAAAAAATAAAACCAAAGAAATTCTAATGATATTGCTAAACGAAATGAAGAACGAGGCAAAAAAATCTAAGAACAAAAAACTAACTTGGAAACATTTGATTGGGATAAAGTACAGTGAGCATCATATGCTAATTCAAAATTGAATAAATAAAATAAATAAATAAAATAAAAAATATTTTCTTTAGGATTTAATACCTTATAGACGTAATATTCAAGAAAAAATCAAAGCTAAAGAATTTGAACATACATTTGCCAAACATATACTTGATTTTGAAAAAATTCAGAAATGTTTGGCTTGTAAAGCATTTCCAAAGTATTCTCCATTAGGCTTATGTCGATACCATGAATTTTGTTTCAAATATGGATGGTATCAGGAATTTCCAAATAAACAATATATACCACCATCACAAAATTTAATAGCTAATCCACCTACATCATATGATATACTTGTAAAAATGTTTGGATATCAAGAGTTTCAAGATATGCAGGAAATAGCAATATCATCATATGTAAATGGAAAACATACCTTTATCTCAATGCATACAGGTGCAGGAAAAACAATGTGTTATTGGATTTCTGCAATTTTACGCGGAGGTTTGACTGTTTTAATAAGTCCATTAGTATCTTTAATTGATGATCAAGTGGTAAGTTAAACTGATTATTTACTACAATTAATGAAAGAAAGATTATAATTTAATTTTTCTATAGATCGAAACAATTGCTGCTAGAATTGGATGTACTAGCATCTATACCGGAAAGCATCAACCTCCACAATATTTTGAAAAAGTCTTTTCTGAGATCGCTATTGGGTTAATTAAAATCTTATATATAACTGCAGAAAGCTTTATCAACAATAGTTCATTTATCAGAATGCTTTTAAATTTCGCAAAATATGCACCTGTATCATTTGTAATAGATGAAGTGCATTGCATTATAAAATGCAAGCATTTTAGGTAAGATATAATTCAAATATTAATTTAAAAATTTTATTTGATATATTAAACTTAACTTATATAGAGAATCCTGGAGTAAATTAAGAAAAATTTCAACATTCTTTCCAAGTAGTTCAATTATGATGCTTACGGGAACTTGCAAGGAATCTGATGCTTATCTAATTTTGGAGAATCTCAGACTTGCTTCAAATGATGTGGCTTTTATTCGAGGGTTATCTTTTTCACGTCCAGAACTTACAATGAAAATGCATCCTAAAAGTACTAAGGAAAAAACTATTGGAGAAATTATTACCCTATTAAAAGAATTAAATGAAGGGAAATGCATTATTTACTGTCCAACAGTACGAATATGTGATGATGTTTATGAGCAACTTCAGGAAAAATCTGGCCTTGGATTACCAATGGCTGTGTATTATAG